ACAGTCCTAATGACCTGACCTCCTTTTTTTTTTTTTTTTAATTACACTTTCCCAGCCTCAAATTTAACCTGTTTTGTATGTGACCACTTCTTGCATTTGCAGTTTACTCTGTGCAGATCTCACGTTCTTTACTAATTTCTGCAGTTGCTCCTTACAATAGGTAAACATCTGTGTGATGTTAAACGACAGCTAAGGGTAAATTTTGCTCTTGCAAATTGTGGATCCATGAAAAGAGGCTAGATTTAAAATGATGCTCCTTCTTCTGTTTTATTTTTTTGGAAGTGTTTGAGGCTTCTGAAGGTGTCTTCTCTGGGAAATACTCAAAATTGCAGTGAAATTGCTTCATGAATTAATAATGTCGTAGACAAAATCCATCTTCCATCACAGACCTGTTTATTTTAGTGAAAATCCATGTTGTCTCACTCTTTGAAGAAGAGCTCTCACTATGTTCCAAAGCAATGCTTTTTTAAACCAATCTTGTTTATATATAAAAATATATCTATATACATCTGTGTGTATGCAAACATATGTCTGCACATATATGTACACATGCACACACTTAAACTGAACTGTGACTGTTCCTTGTCTCAAAACATCATCTGTGGGAATGAGACAGGAGAGAGAAGGGAATTACTAAAAACAGACAGGAAATATCTCCTGACTTTAACTCAGAAATGGCTAAAAAGCATGCTAGTCTTTTCTTGAAAACAGCACCATCCCTTCTTTATGGTATTTTAACAATGCTGCTGTACATAGCACTTTTTGGATGAATTTTACTATTTCTGTATTGCACTGCCATGCAAAATTTTCAATGATATGTTTTAAAAAAAAAAAAAAAAGAAAAGAGATATTTAATTTTTTTAGATGGACATATTTAGAATTAAATACCAACCTAAACATAATAATTTTTCCTCCCCATTTTTTTTTTTTTACTTTTTATTTTTAGGGATGCCATCCCATCCCCCCCAATTATTATGTCATTTATTATAGATGTACATTTTATCAGTGATGGAGAAGAATGTTTACTGAGATGCATTTTAAAGAGAAACAGAGGTTTAATTTTATTTCCGTCTGCATAGAGTCCCTGTTATTGAGAGGATATTTTGCTTTTTTATGTAATGATTCTTTTGTGTATACTGCAAAAATCTAAAAATTTGTTTGTAAAACCACCTTAGACTACTAAAATAAACATATTTAACCTTCCAGCTATCGACTCTTTAGCTGTAACAATACTTTTTCTATGCTGTCTAGAAGTTCGTGGTATATAAACATGGTTAATTCTATCTGCCTTGGTTTAAAAATTCCTTAGTGGGTACCATTAATTTTCCTCCGTTTCAGAGTGGCAGCCGTTTCAGATCCAGCTCCAGTTTTCTCAGGTCCACCAAAAGGAGTGCAAGCATTGGTGGAGACTGGCATTCTGTTGTTGTGTGATACACAGGGCTTGTCCTGAAGCGAAGCCTTTGGCTGGCAGCCTGTGATGGCTGTGTAGATGGGAATTCTAGGGCCACTCGTAGTTAGCAACCAAACAGACCTAATCCAGGGACCTGATCTATTCTGTTACAGCTCTCCAGGATAGATAGCCCTGCTTCATCACTGAGGCTGTTTAAAGTCTGGCTGAAAATACTGCAGCAAAAATCTACTCTTCACCTATCTCATTCAAAAATCTCTTCTCTTCCTGTCCCAGCAAAGTAAAAATGTGTGTTACGTACTTCACGCTCTCCCCTGGAAGGGTCATCAGCTTACTTGTGGATTGCAGGGCTAGAAAGGAGTTCTTGGTTTCTGATTTTAGTATCATTTAGCCACAAGCATTTAAACTCTGAGATACCAAAATGTAAGGCTGACTGTCCCTAATGATGTCATCATGACATGGAGATGGGGGCTGCGAGGGATTAAATTCTCCGATTAAATCTTTTCAAATGGTCTTCAGTATGTTCTGTCTAAAAATATTCTCTCAGTTTTCCATCCTGGCTCAGGTCTGCATTGCTTGTCTTCATAATTTGGATGAGAGGCCCTTGAGTTTTGTGCAACCAAGGTTTGGAACATGCACTGAAGTAACCCGACAGTATCACTGCAGTCCCTGAAGGAAAAAAAAAAAAAAGGTAAATCAGCAGCAGAATGTGTGATCCGCCAAGATTAGTCTCACATTGTGTCTTAACACAAAGCAAATTTCATTAACATTCTCTAGGCGAAAAGTCACTCTGTAATACTCCGGTTTTTGGCTGAAGAGCTGCAGGGAGTTGCTGCTTTTTTATCTTGAAAGCAGGAAAGTACATGCGACTTGACAGCTTTAGAAAGTTAATGTTTAAAAGGCCTATTTGTGTCTTGTCAAAGACCAACTTTCACAAGCAGATTATTTTTATCTTTAATTGATTAAGCAATACTCAAATCAATGCCCCTCACAGAAGGCAGTATATCATGCAGTGCTTCAAAACGTTGATCGTTGTCAAATTTTTAAAAACCGGTGGGTTTAACTTAGTAGAGGACATGTGAATTTTTCCCTTCTGCTTCCATAGTAATAGTTTACAGTTTGTTTTGTTACACTGCATAAGACCATTCATAATGTGTCCATTTATTCCTAGGAATGGAAGTTATTTCGTGGTACCTACACTGTTGAGTAGCAGAAGCTTACTAAGCAGTTTTGCTCTTTGCTCATCCAGTCTTCATCGGGAAATTGCTTATTCAGATCCTCTCAGCAGACAGGGTGCTATCTAAAATGGTAAGGAAAGCATTAAAGATTTGCTAACAGTGGAGGGAGTCTGGAGCTGAGGTTCCAAGCAGCACTGATTTTCATTTTATGAATGTCTCACTGCTCTTGCACTCTTGATGATCTTCTCTACCATTCGGATGATAATCAAGATGAAAAAGATTCTCCCTCTTCCGTGTGAAATTGCAGGCAGATAGGATGCAGACACAGGTTGAGCATGAAACCGCGGTGGCCAGCGTGTCCCGTCTGCTGAGGTAGTGACATCGATACCACATCCGTGGTAATCACTGCTTGCCATGCAGGAGCTGTGTATTTTTACTAGAATCACACACCCGTAGTACAACAGACTTCGGGGTCCACAGGAGGCATCGAGGTCTTGGCCAGAGGCACGTGCTAGTACAGCACGCCGGTTCGTGTGCTCCGTTCAGGCTGTGCAACGGAACAACTCCTTCCTGCAGGCCTGAAGGAATTCGGAGAGGCAGATGAAATCATTATTCTTCAGGAAGGTCAGTGTCTGACTGGAGAGCTACGGAGACAGCTCTGATAGTCTGGGAATGAAACTGCTGAGCGAGGAGAGCGAAAGGGCAGTGTGGCTACGGGGTGCTGCTACCGTCGGAGAACACCTTGGCTGTACCTCACCCCTCAGTCCCATCGATAACGCTGCCTGAAGAAAGCCCCTTTTCTGTCTGTTCCTGCTGCCTGTCCAGAGACAGCAAGTGTATTCCCTCCCCCTGAGGCCTCAGACCCTTGTATGTGTTTCTCAGTTCATTAAACTGTAAGATTAGAAGTCCAAAGTTTTCAAATTACAAGCAGTGTCTTATAGATGGCTGGACTTGGGGTTTATGGTCCGTATTCATCCAACTTAGTATTTAAGAACGCTGATAACGAACATTTGATTGTATTTTTAAAAACTGGTTTTGTCTCTGCTGAGATGCTTTCAGCTGCTTATAGTTGAGCTGATCAGCCCTTGTTAGCTACCAGCTGTGAAAAATCACATACCATAATGTGCATCTTTTTAAAGCCTAGAAAATATTCATGAAAAGCAGCTGGAAACCTCAGCTTATCTGACTCGTGCTAACTTCCCCCTGCTTGCGGGCCTTTGCCAGAATCTCTAGGGCACTGCTCTCAGGTGAGAATGCGATGAACAAACCACATTCAAACTATGAAAGAGCACCTGGAAATGGCCCTGTAAACGTGCCAAAGCCTCAGAGAGAACTCCAAGGTGGATACATTTTTCTGGATTCTTTGTCTGGTTTGTCCTATAGAGAGGATATAATTATAGTTTATAACATATCTTAGCATCTTGCTGTAATTCATACCACGAGAATGATTTACACCATCTGGGGCTGAAGCGCGTTAAAAGCGATCTAAGGACTCCCCTTAATAGCAGCGAGCTGTGAATCAAGCCCTTGAACTCTGTTAGGGCAGGCTTCACCAAATGCAGTCTTCTAAGGATTTTTTATTGAAATGCAAGCAAGTTTTGGCTCTGCAGGAGGCAAGCTGTGTTGATGTTTAGTTGATTTACTCAGTGACACGTATAGAAAAAGCTTAGGGAAGAAGGCCAAGATGTGCAAGCTGCTGGAGTTTTCCATCTTGAAAAGTGCTTAAAGTCAAGTAGGGAGTACATTTCTGTTTCTTACTTAAGTGTGGACATGTTCCAACTCCCCTGCAGGATGAGTTGTACTAGTTTGCCGAATTCTCGTGAAGGCACTTCTTTGTTATTACAGTGCCTTGATGTGTGTATTTATAAATGACCTGGCCCAAGAGAATCAGATACTTGGCAGCATTGTATTTTAGCTCAAAGTGAAGCTAGCATGGGAAGGATGAAGGGGCAGGACTTCACTTCTGTGCCTTTGGGTTACACAGAACAGCACACGCCAGGAATGTAATGGTTTTACCTTGAAGCTCTGGCCTTCCTTCGGCTGTCTGGGCATTGTGAGGAAATACCAGATGTGTGTAGCAGGTTGGGGAGCTGGGGGGTTTTGGTGTTATGCATGAGTTCCCCAGCTGATCCGAGACAGTCACAGAGTGCAGAAAGTCTTGAGCAGCTTTCACTATCGACAGCCGGGAGAGATGGGCGCAGCTGGGTAAGACCCTACTCTAGAGAGAGGGGACTTTTACAGGACCACGCAGCGGGCCACTAACAGCATTTTCTGAGTCCCAATGTACTGTTCAGCTGCTGGACTCAACTGCTCCCAAACACTGTCTTTTTGGCTGGGTGAAATCTCCTCCTCTCTTTCCCAAAACCCTAGAGTCTGCAGTATGAGCTGGCATGTTCTGCTGAAGCCCCTCAGCCTGGCTCCTCCCTCTCTTTTATCTTTATAACAGCGTTGAACGCCTGGGAGCGTTCAGTGCTCCAGCAGTTTGTCTGCCTGTTCATCGAGTCGCTTCTGCTAACACCCAGTCAGACAACCGGAACTAGGCGAGGCCGAAGGAATTGCTGTAGGTGAGCTACTGCCTTCAATCCCTGCTGTTCTTGTTCTAGATGACGAGGATCAAAGCCTGTGTGCAACAGGTTCTCTCCTTCCTAGCCGATGGCCGTTCACCTTTTCCGCTGCTGTTTTAATACTGATGCCTTCCTTCAGTGCTGCATACAGAAGACGGGTTGAGGAGTAATGTTGTCTTGTTTCTTTACATTTTGAAAGACTGAAAACCTCTGAGCAGTGAGAGCTGATCTTAGCAAAGTAACTTTTAAAATCCTTAAGTTTGTTTCGCTCTAAAGCCAGCACGAGAAAACTCTGCAGTACCTCCTCGGGCAGGTGGTGAATGGATATGGCAGTGGTTGATTTAAGCCGTATCTAAGGAACTCGTTACACACTGGGAGGCACTAAACCCCACTGCCCTCCCGTTACTCTCTAACTGATTCCATTTGCCAATGACTCTAGTGCTGAATTCGAGCTAGGGAAGTGTATTAGCCTTTGCAAAAAATCTTTTTTTTGCGCATATTTACACTCTATTTGTTCTTTTAGCCAGTGTGCTAACAGCTCTTCCTTTTCAAGGTGATGCAAACAATATATTACCAGCTATCATTAGCTTTTTTTTTTTTTTTTGAAGGAGGCCACTTGAAATAAAGATCCCTTTGTAGTATGTACCAAATTGTAAGAAAAAGTATCAGTAATTTACAAGCTAAATCTACCAGGGCACATGCAATTTCTCACTGGCTCCACCTGAAGAGTACTGCTGCTTTTCCTTTATGTGCCCTGGTGGGTGATTCAGCTGTTCATGTGCTGCTCTGGCAACAGCTAAGAGTAGCTACCACCGTGTCTATGTCCTACAGTTACGTTTTAGAAAATGTAGGCTGATCCATAACTGAAATACCAGTCCTCTCCTTTGATCCTTTCACAAGGATCAAAATATTCCCGTTTTGAAGTATTTTTACAACAAAAAAAAGCATTTAAATTTAACCCAGAAAGAATCTTCTGTGTAAATTTTATTCACCTCTCTTACTAGGTGAAAAATGTAGAGAAAATAAGTGAGGGAAACTACTGAGCTGCGATGTCAAGTGATTTCACAGCAGTGCAGGTTTGGGGAAAATTTCATAAAAGTTGATGAGGTAACATTAAGTGAAGCCAGTGTTTTCTGAGCATCAGTCAGAAGCAAGTAATACCATATGTAGGAAAATTTTTTGCCTCCTAAGTGGTAAGTTTTCTTGGGCATTTTTAATATTTTTTTTTTGTTTGTGGGGTAATGGCATCCTGAACCTTGTTTGACACTATGATGACAAAAAGAATAAAAAATACTGCAGCAGCTTGAGACTTAATATAACCTGGCATTGATTGTTTTCCATAGCTCTGTGGCTGTTTTACAATGACAAATACACAGTTACTTCCAGCCATGCAGAAATGTTGCAGGGGTTGAAATGGAAAAAGTTACTAAAACGCGCTGGTTTTCACCCTCCTTCCCCCTACCCCTTTTTCCTTGCTCCGTTAGGGCTAGGAGGTGGAGACGAAAGAGGGCTTCAGAAACCATTTCTGATGTCTCTAGATGCAGGTGAAACACGCTTGTTTGAGAGCATTTCGGTGCAAGTGAAACGAAAGACCTTTGCTTTCTGCAACCCGAATGGAAAGTGAAATTAAGGGTTTGCATTTAAGCCCCCCCACATGAGAACCTCCTGGAGGAGATGGTTTTATTGGTGCCTCAACTGGCTCCTAAGATGTCTTTAACAGCATCTTCCCCTTTCTCCGAGCGTGAGGGCCCGGTCCTCCGGAGCAGGCCAGCTGCTTCCCTTCCTTTCCCTGACGCCGGGGTACGTGCCCCCCCGAGCCTGCACACCCCCACTGGGGCTCGCCTCGCCGTCCCCAGGGCTGACTGCAAGGGAAACAGTGCAACACCCGGTGCCTAAATCCACCCTGTAGCTTTGTCACATCCCCCTTGCTGCAGTGAGGTGTTCACCAGAATCTTTTTCTTTAGTATTTGTTACGGCTGGTCCAGAAGTGACTGTTTTCACCTGGAGACCTTTGTTTGAATTGGGACCCCTCAGAATAGGGTGCAGAAAATCCAGGAATTACTGCTTTTAACCCAGCAATGAAGAACTGTAAAACCAGCTTTAACCACTTGCCTTTCATCTCTAGCAGGAGGTTTCCCTTAGTAGATATTTCTGCTCCAATGGACAAAGGTCTTCACTTCGTGTTCTGTGTGGTTACAACCGTGCTGCTCCTGAGAGAATCAAGCCAGACAGGTGAGAAAAATGATCCAAAGGTGCTGGCTGAAGCCAAATCCCATTTTGTTCTTTATGGAATATTAATTTTTTTAGTCTTTAACTGCTAGTGCTTACAGGATTTTGTCTTAATCTCAGAATTTGCTTTGGAATTGGTTGTTAAGGTATCACCAGGGCCTACCTTGTTGTTACAGCGTGCGATTGCGACTGTACCACGTTATGAGTCCTGTCACGAAGTGCCTTTGCTGCTGCAGCTGTAAATCAGATGGGGAGATGAAAGAGCCTAGGAAAAGGGTTGTTAGGTGCCCATGACCACCTTTGTTGTGATTAAAGCTGCGTTCTTTTGAGTCTGCGGTCCCTTGAATTGCAGCAAGATGACGCTGGTTAACTTGTTCCCTGTGAGTAATGTTGTCCACGGTAGTTGTTCAGCCCCTCTGCTCGTGGCGTGTTTTGGTAAGGATTTAGTGCGAGGAAGTTGTCAGCTCCGTGAGTCCCCCCACTTTCTGTAGACAATGGGTAACGCTGCATTCCCCCTGAAGTTCCTCAGGGACAGGAGCAGGAGCGTGCCAGGGACTTCTGCACAGCGCTCGGCTGATTGGATCCTGCTTCGCTCGCAGCGTGAGGAGCTGGGGAACTTGCTTTCACAACACAAGAAATGCTATTGTTTCACTCGGATCGTGGCTTTGTGGTGTTCTATGCCTGGAGGCCAAGCTCAGGCCAAGGACTAACTTGATTACTGGGAGAGAAAATTTAGTTCTCTGTTTGGAGGGTTGGGAGAGCAGCTTGGCTTCCTGGGCTGTCTCCTGGCACCCCCGAGCTGGTCATGGCGTAGCTACCGTAGCAGCTGAGATACTGCAGCCATTTGCTCCTGTGGCGACGCTCAGATTCTCTCATCCTGAGAATTCTCTCATCCGGAAGGTCCCAGTGTGCTCTAGAACTGTAATCTACCTGACCCATCGCCTCTTCTTCTAGTCCAGCTGTGTCTCCCGGTCGCAAGCTGGAAGCGGGGAAGTGCTGGCAGGGGGGACGGAGGCAAGGCTGCGTGCCTGGAGAGGGAGGGTGGGGCAGAAAACAGGGGTGAGGTGCCCAGTTCTTACCAGTGCCACAAGCTCTTCCCCACGAAGTTAAGCAGGGAGCCATCCTCCTTTAGAGGGCTGGCCATGTGCAGGGTAGAAGGGGTGAGGACAAGGCTGATTTTTTGCAACCACAAGTAATTTCCTGCAGCCACTGGCCTGTGGGGAACAAGAGTGGAGGGATGAGCCTCGTCTTTGTCTTACGCTTTTGTAGACCCTCACAAAGGATTCTCACAATGACAACTTGGCTTCTGAGAAGTGTCACTGCAATGAACTTGGAGTTGGTGCTGCGACTTGATTACTTACGGTCCTTTGAGGAGTTCTCACAATGGGGCTTTGAACAGCTGCATCCAGTGCCGCTGTGGGGGAGCTGGAGCCCTCAGTACAGGCTGTTTTCTTCCAAGAAACCCTAGCAGGTCTTCAAAAAGGAGCCTCAAAAAGCTTTTACTGGCTTTAATGAGTTTCTAAAGGGAGACAAGAGAACTCCTTTGTGAAGATTTCCAGCTCCCATGGAGAACTGTAGTGGAGAGGGAAAAAACAGGTTTTGTTTTACAATAATGTAGAGTTCAGCACAAGGCCAGAAAATGCAAAACCAAATAATGAATAATACATAATGAATGAATATGTTGTTATATTTAATGAAAAACTCACAGCTTTTGCTTGAAAGAGTGAAAACACCCTAAATTTTTTTGTTTTATCTTGAGGGATTTTTGGCTTTTGCACTGTGGACTCTTTGATTCCAAGGAGCAATGCCGTGCACATTCTAGAAAAAAACATCCCGGGCAATTAATGAGTCATATATTGACACAATTGTGGGTTTAATTCTGCATCTCATTGTAGTTTAGCTCTCTTGCAGCTGGGGTGGGATTGAGGTATTCTGAGTATTATGAAAAGGGAAGCTGTGGAGCAAATAATTTAACAGGGCTTGTTAAAAATCACACAGCAGAGCAGAGTAGAACCCAGGAGCATGACTAACCTCAAGAATAATACTTTTATGGGTGGATCTTGGTGTTTTTACCAGAGGGAACTCTCATTACCTTGGTTTTACAAATGAGAAACAGAGATGCGGGAGGGAGAAGTAATACAGAAAAGGGTTTGACGATTTGACGTTGGGTGTTCAGTGCTGTCTACAAGGTTTCACCAGCTCTCATCACACTTAAACTCTGTTGATTTTCTGTTTTCCTCTTCCTCTCTGCTCCTTGATGGGATACAGGGAACAGGCAGCACAAGATGGGCTTTCCTGGTCCCTCTTTCTTATTTTTAGGGAACCTGTTGGTTCCTGGTTTTGGTCGTGGCCCTTTGGGAGGTGTTAATTTTCACAGGAATGAGAAAATCAGGGGGGACGGAGTAGGACGTGGTGGAGAACTACCCCAGTGGTTGCAACCCCTTTGGCTGCTTTGACAGTAGGACCCTGTCATTAGTAAGGGAGGGGAAGCAGAAGAAAATCTTGTGCCTTGGAACTTGATGGTGATGAACTTCTGGTTGTTTACAGGGCTTCTCCCTAGGAGTGCAGACAAGGTTTTGCAGGAGTCAGGGGGAAATCTTAGTTGTGTGAAGTAGCCGGAGAGCTGGCTTTTCACCTTGTCGGGGGGGGCAACGAGGAAGTAAGGCGGTGGATTCCGCAGCATCCCTTCCTCAGTGTGTGAGTGACAGTCAGAATCCTCAAGGAACCTCTTCAGCCTCGGTCTGGCTGTTTCCATTTCTGCTTCCACGTGTCTCACCCTCGCGCGGGGCTGGGAAGGAGGGAACACGCTTGGCAGAACTGCTGCAGGCAGCTGCCCGGGGAGCCTGTGGGTCACGGGGGACCCTTCCGTTCCCTTAGTGCAGTGTGAAGTGGGGCTACGCGACCTCCCTTCTAAGGAGCTCTGATATAAGCCTTGCCAGAAGCTGATGATGTCGTTGTTGTACTTTTTCAGGAACTACAAGGAATGACGATGCTGTGAGTAAGGTAAGCTTGTCCACTGGTGCAGAGCTCCCAAAGGCGGCGTATGTGCAAAAGGTGCTATGTTTGAAATTCAGAAATGGATGGGATCATCGTGTGCAGTGCTTTTAATTGTGAAGAGTTATTATTTTCAGTATGCTTTTCATGGCTAGTGATGGCCATATCTAAGTCTGTCTGTGTGTCTGTGCTTTTTTTTTTTTTTTATTATTTCACTCAGTCTTTTGTCCAGAATTAAAAATTCAGTCATGGCTCAGGGAAGAATCTGCCTATAGCCCTGTCTTCATGGCTTACAGAATTTAAACCTCAGAATTATCACATCACTTCTGATTTTTATAAACTTCTTAATATCAAAGAAAATTCAGACACGTATAAAACATGCAGAGATACCTTTATTAGTTCTTAAGATGTGTGTTTTATTTCTAAAAGCTTGCATTTAACATAAAAAGGGTCCGTGTGGGACATAATTCCTCAGGCTTTAGAAGAAAGGTGGCAAATGCCATCTTTAAAGTCTAACTGGCTAGAACACGGATATATTCACGTTATACAGGACAGTATTTGTCCTGAGGACTTTCCAATCCAGAATGATGGGAGAGCTGGTTACAGTAGCATTGGGAAATGAAATTACTTGTTGCCCTGCATTTCGTAACTGCGGCTCACAGCTTCAGAGACAACGCTCATCCCTCAAATCCTTCCATTGCAAAGAGAGAATCAAAGCGAGGTCGTTTGGCTCCTGGAAGAACTGGAGCTTCTTTGGCAGATCTTGTACTGCATGCATGAATAAATGCATAAATACACTTACACATGCTCTCTAGAAACATCACTGTTCTCAATTTAGGATAAAAGAACACATTTAAGACCAACAAATCTTACAGAAATAGGCAAAAAGCTTGCTTTGTTCCGAAGTATTACTGATCAGAAGTCATCTCGAGCTGTGTGACTCGGTAAGGGTGGATGTACCCTGCGGAACTGACTCCGTGTTTCCTCTCCCCTCAGGTTTCCCGCTGTTCTGCCTCTCCTGGAATTGCTCTCTAATGAGACCTTAATTGGCTGCTAGCTGTTTTGTCTGCAACATGAACGGATTTCTGTGGAAGGCTCCGCACCTGAAAAATTGTGACAACATTTAAAGTGATTTTTATGCGGACAGAGTATGCTGACAACAGGCAGTAAAGTGAAACGCTTGGGATTTACTGATTACCGTTAGGGAACAGCAGTGCTGAGGTGCTGCAGTTTGCAGGGCAGACTTACAGCTGGTTGAACGCACGCACACGTCTCCCCTGACACCCACCCCAAGTTCTAGTGTAAGCCCTAGCTAAGCGGGGCCACGTCTGGGACTTGGAAATCCATTATTTCTTCCTTTTTTGATTTGCAGGGCACTGACTTAAGGGGACCTGAAGAGTCTCTTCCAACCTTGACTGTCACAACAATCCTGGTAAGGCAGTGACACGACACTGGCTGGGAGGTAGCTGGAATTACACTTTTTTTTTTTTCCCACCTCTATATTTGCAGGTGGTTTGGGGGCTGTCTGTGACACTGATAGCCCTGTTCAGCACAGACCGTGTTTCCAGAGTGCTGGCTCTGCGGTGTAGAGCTGCGAGCTCTGTATAAACTATCAAAGTCAGCCCACAAAATGGACTGGGCATACCCTTCTAGAAATGACTGCTCTGTGAAGACAGCCAGGCCTCTTCGCTCTGTTTAGCTGCATCTAAGGGTTGTCCCGTTACCTAGATGTTGGTTTTGTCCTGGAGCGGAAATATGTAAAGAGTAGACATGTGAAGGGATTAAAAACGGGCCATAAAAAAAAAAAAAAAGCATCACCACATGCACCAGACAAGCGGGACTATTCAGGAGAAGCTGCAGCAGTAAATTTTCTGATTCTGGTGACAAGTCCTGCACCAGCATGTGACCCTCGTCTGATGCTTTGATGGGCCAAATGAAATGTATTTGGGCTTTTAGGGTGAGAAGAGATTAGCACTTCCTTCGGTGGTACCTGTGGCTTGCAGAACGCACCTGCCCTGCTGCAGTCTGTGACTAGTGGTGGCACCCGAGTCCCGTGAATGTCTGTCAAGTTTGGAAATGTTGTGTGTGTGTGTGTGTGTGTGTGTGTGTCCCCTGATAACATGGACAGAAGTCTTTGGGGAGGGTTTGCCAAAAAACTGGCTTAACTCCCCCTCAGTGGCGCTGCGGACTGAGGGAGCGTGGAATTGTCTATTTTCCCCTCGACATGCAGGAAGATCCCTATGTCATGGTGAGAAGTGCGGAACTGGAGGGCTACTGCATCGATCTGCTGAAAGCACTCGCCACGATGCTCCGCTTCAGCTACAGGGTGAAGGTGGTGGGCGACGGGCGGTACGGCGCCGTCACTTCCAGTGGCAACTGGACAGGGATGATCGGCGAAATTTTGCGACAGGTAATTTTCAATTTATATTTTCAACAAACTGCAGCTCTAGAAGGAAGGAGCAGCGCGAGCAGCTCTTGGTCCTCATTAGAATTTGCTCAGGGACTGAGCAACTTGGAGTTGTCCTGTCCATTGTGTAGAGCTAATGAACAGCAAGGCTTGTAGTTGGGTTCGGCTTACAAATATGGAAACTAAGGAAGAAGGAGACAGTGGCCACAGCAGGAAATCATTGTTACACCAAGGCATGGGGTGGTGCTTGTCTCATCTCAGAGGCTACACAGTGTTTCTTCTAGTCTGAGAGACTGTACAGACATTTTAACTGACTCACAAAACAGAGATAATGGCGTTAAGGAAAACTTACTCCGAATTTAACCACTCGGTGAAATACTCTCTCTCGGGATGTAATCCCTCAGACTCTGCCAGGAGGTGCTCGAATGCAGATCTTGCCCCATCCTGAGCCATTCCCTATGACTAGCATTCTGTCATCTGTTGGTAACATCTGAATTAAACCTTCTCTGCTCCTCTGAACGCAGTACTGTGTCCAGCTGTCAGTCGAGTAGGTGCTGCAGCCAGGAACAGAAAGGAACGTGCCTTCTGGTTTTGGCAAACAAACCCAGCGTGGTTCAGGGCGCACGGCCTCGGCGGGTGCGTGTCATGTGGCAGTAGGAAACCAGTATGAGCTGTGCAAAATGGAAACCAGTGCTATTTCATGGAGCTCAGAGTCTAGCTCCATAGCTGGCTGTTGACACAGGAGTGATTTGCTGTGCAGGTATCTGCCCACTCGGGCCGAAGTGCTCTGAGCGATGGAGCTCCTCAGGAAGGTTTGATGGTTGATTACTTGTTGTCTCCGCCTTACAGGAAGCAGACATTGCAGTGGCTCCTCTGACAGTCACCTCAGCGAGGGAAGAGGTGGTCTCCTTCACCACACCGTTCCTGCAGACCGGGATTGGGATCTTGCTTCGAAAAGACACGGTCTCGCAGGAGATGTCTTTCTTCCACTTCCTGGCTCCTTTCAGTAAGGAGACCTGGACTGGCCTTTTATTTGCTTATGTGCTGACGTGCTTCTGCCTCTTTCTTGTTGCCAGGTATAAATTCATTTGTTTCACAGATTTTGTTCAAGTGCATTCTCAGCTGTGAAGAGATCTCAGTTTTAAAGAAATTACCAGGGTGCGTTTTGCCTTGAGGAACCTTCTGTGCAGGGCTAATAAAGCTTAAATCGTGTCAGATTAAGGGCAGGATCTCCCCACAAAGAGCACTGTAGCTCTTGACGCGGATAACTGAGGGTCGCTGAAAGCTCTGTGTGTTTGTACTTCAGCTCCTTTCTCAGTTCTAACAGAGTTTGTTTTGAACTTTGACCACGTTCCTACGTGCAGGTCTCTCTCCTGGTGTATTTTTATGCACTGTATCCTGCACTGACTTGTGGAAGAGATTCTCTCTGCCACCACTCCACCCCCTTCCTGAGAGATTAGGCCACACCAGTGCTCTCTGCAGCTGCAGTTTGGAACAGAAGCTCTGTGCTGCTTTTTGAGTGTGATACAGAGTCTTTATAGGTAAGGGTTTGCTCCAAGTAGCAGCCTTCAGCCCGATATTACGGCACAGAGCTGATACTGCTGGTGTGCCTGGGAGACCAGATTGTGCAGTGGCTCAGGAAGAAAGTGTCTGGCAAACCTGTGACAGGACCCCCGGACCATCACTGTTGTGGGATTGAACAGGAGTGCTTTCCTCCGTACTGGTCAGACTGGAACTTGGGTGAAGGAGGAGCTACCCTTTCCAGGCTATCTGCACCACTGCAGTCACACGGAAGGATTATTTATTATCTTTTTTCCCTCTGAATGTCTGGTTTTATCCTGTCATTTTCCCACAGACTGAGCCCCTGTGAATGGAACGAGCCCAAGAATGAAGAGAACCACTTTACCTTCTTAAACAGCCTCTGGTTTGGAGCAGGAGCACTTGCCCTGCAAGGTGAGCGGGAGGACGCCGCAGAGCAGCAATGCGAGCTGGAGGCTCCGACCTGGCACTGTACCCAGCTCCTCAGTCCGTAGTGCTGCTCTGCTATCCTGTTGGGGGAAAGGTGTCCCAGTAGGGACACTTGGCAGCACTAGAACTCCCCAGTTCGGGGAGTTTTGATTACAGACTCGTTGGAATTGCCCGGACGGCTGGTGTCAGCCGAGGGATGTGTCTTTTCTGCTGTAGCAATTGCTCTGGGGAATGCCGAGCGAACCCCTGCCCTGGTGCTTTGCAGAGTGGAGTTTTTGTCCTTGCTCTTGGCCTCTGACGTCGCTCCAGCTCTGCACTGCAGGCAGCACTGCTGCAGGTCACACCAGCCATAGGGCGGCTGTCCAGGCTCCCTGCAGGGCAGGCTCTGCAGTTTGGACTTTATTTAAAGGGAACTCTTCCACTGAGGCTCACAGCTCTGGAGATCTTGGGCTCCCTCCCACCGTATGTCCCCTCCCGTGTGTTTTATCATCTCCTCTGGTCGTGCAGGTGTCACCCCTCGGCCCAAAGCACTCTCTGTGCGGGTCATTGCTGCAGTCTGGTGGCTCTTCACCATCACCCTGCTGGCTGCCTACATCGCCAACTTCACTGCGCTGCTGAGCTCTGGCAGCGAGCAGCTCCCAATCCAGACTTTTGAAGATCTTGTGAAGCAAAGAAAGCTTGAGTTCGGGACACTGGACGGCTCCTCTACTTTCTACTTTTTCAAGGTGCAGAGAATCTCATTGTGCTCATACACATGTGCCCTAGAACTGCAAACCTGGGGCCAAGTTTTCCAGCTCATGCTATAGCACCCTCATCGCTGCAGACTTATCAGGTTTCCTGTAGTATTTCAAATAACACAATTGCTATCTGTTGTTTTGTGCGTCTCTTCCACCTTTTCTCAGAGAGAAAAGCATGCAGAGAACTGTATTTTCATAGCATGTTCTCTTTTAAGAAAGCGGTGCTGCTCTTCAGGGGCTGTCCTTGTGTACCCTGAACATGAGGACTGACGTAGGTAATTTCTGGATCCGTTAACTGGATGTCTGCAAAGGTTGTTTTTCGTTGGGGGTGGGTGGGAAATATTTAGTCATAGAATCACAGAATTGCTTAGGTTGGAAAAGACCTTGAAGATCATTGAGTCCAATCATAAACCTCACACTGCCAAGTCCAGCACTAACCCACGTCCCCAAGTGCCACATCTACAGGTCTTGAAACACCTCCCGGGACGTGACTCCACCCCTTCCCTGGGCAGCCCGTTCCAGTGCCCGACAGCCCTTTTGCTGAAGGAATTTTATGGTTGTGCCCCGAGTGCAGGACCTGGCACTGAGCCTCGCATGACTGGCCTGGGCCCGTGGCACCGGCTGCCCAGGCCCCTCTGCAGAGCCTCCTGCCCTCGAGCAGGGCAACACCCGCCCCCCTCCGCGTGGTCTGCGACATTTCTATCCCTCTAACACTGTGTTAGAGAGGAAATCTGTGCTCGCCGTGTGCTGCTGTTCAGCAGAGGGCTCAAAGGGCAAAGATTTAAATACTCCTATTCTCCGAATTGTTCTGCAACCCTTGCACACATACACAGATATTTTTTTTTGGATGACTATTTTATGCTTCAGTTTGACGCCTGGATTTTTGGACTGCAGAACTCCAAGAATCCCATCCACCAGATGATCTACGAATATATGGACAAGAGACGAGACCGTGTTTTAGTCAAAACCTACCAGGAGGCTGTTCAGCGTGTGATGGAATCCAACTACGCCTTCATCGGGGAATCCATCTCTCAGGACCTTGCAGCTGCCAGGCACTGCCATTTGATCAGGGCCCCTGAAGTTATCGGAGCCAGAGGATTCGGCATTGCCACCACCCAGGGTTAGTCACTGCACCACGTCTGCTTCTCCACGTGGATTCGTGGGTCTGAAGTAGCAGATTGAGAGAGCACAAAGCCTGGCAGAGCCGAGTGCTGCGCGCGCTTTCTGCGTTAACACTAATAATCCAGCATGAACTAATTGGTAACCTGCTCCGCGGTGTGTTCATTCTGTAGATGAATTCTCCCTAGCGCTCACCAACTCTTCCTTTGAACTGTAATAAGCAAAAAAATTCCAACTCTCAGGGGTGTCATTAGTTCCTGTGGGGTTTTTTTGCTTTGCCTCAGTCCCCAGGATGCCACGCTCCTCACACAGTCAGCAGGGCAGGCGCTGTGTTCTCTCGTGGACCGTGTCTGCTTGTTTCTCCAAGTACCTGCCCTCTGTTGTTCTGCAAGTGTCACCGTGCCCCCACAACAGGACAGGATCAGTTCTGGCCCAACGGTTCTGTTGCCCCGTTTGCAGAACAACTCTCTGCCAGGGGGGGAAGCACCCCCAGCTAATAACCCTGCCCGGTAGCGTAGCAGCGCGGGGCTTAAAAACGTTGTGGTGGGTGGGATCTCTCCCATCTCTTCTCTCTCTTCCATGGTACAACTGCCAGCGTCCCCGTGGACCAAGAAGCTCTCCATCGCCGTCCTCAAGCTGCGGGAATCGGGGGATCTCGACTACCTGCGCAACAAGTGGTGGGAGAGCAGCTGCCTTCACAAAAGCAGAGAGCGGTGGAGCCCCCTGCAGCCCCAGGCTCTGGGTGGGCTCTTCCTGACGCTGGGGATCGGCCTGGCCCTGGGCGTGATCGCGGCCGTGCTGGAGCTCTCCCACAAGAGCAGGCGTGCTGCCGGGCACGCGAAGGTGCGTGGCGGTGGCGTGTCCCTTTCCCCCAGCAGGCACGGGCCAGGCGCTCTGCTGTGCCCCACCTGCTCCTCTTTTTCTAAGGAAAGCAACGTCAGGGTGTGGGGGGCAGAAAGGTATTTACTCTTTACAGCGCTGAAATTTCATAGCTTGGACTGTGTGATCAATCTGTAACCCGAACAGGGTAACGATAACAAAACACACTCCCACCCCTCCCCAGATGTGAAGTAGAAACCTTCACTGTAATTCCAAGGCAGCCAACCTGCATTCCGATCTGCTGAGTGCGCACAGAGGACAGTGAATCATCAATAACAAGTTTATTCTCAAGTATGGCTGTTCTTAAGTCATTTGACAAGCAGAAAAACACATGTCAATGAAACTGCCCCGTTACCGGAGCGTGCACCGCGGGTGCCGTCCCGGCGGGTGGGCTGGGCACCCCTCGCAGGTGGGTCCCACCACACACAACCACTCACCCCCTC